TATGGGTTTCAAATATTGCCCAGTCTTTCCAATATTCCTCATTGATAGACTGGTTCAATAGCATGTAAGAGTTGTCTTGAGGTGTGCTCTATGTGCAAAGTGTGTCTATATGTAAGGTGACTATGCATTGCCACAGATTCTTTCATACCATCCACCAGGAACAGCAACATACAACACAAACTGTAGATATCATGAACATATTTGGAGGAGTTCTCTTTTCCCCTGTCAGAAGAAGACATTCATATCTGTGTGACTATAGTTTTAGTCCTTGCCCTGGTTTGTCTTCTCTTGATACTGTATAACACAGTCTTTACAGTTAATGATTATAAAGGAACTGAATGGGCAGTGAATGGGAAAGATGTTTAAGTCATCCAAATATTGGCTCTCTGTGTATTTTAATCTCTGCACCTAATCATTCTCAAAACCTCTCTTTAATATGAAAATTATGTCCTTGTATTTTATCTCCACTCTCCAGCATTGGGAAGAGGAAATACCTGCCATTCCTATAATACCACAAACATTCTTTTAAAAGCCTCAGGTCTGTAATTAGACACAATAAAGTAAAATTGCAAAACCTTTCACATAAATAAATGTTAGGTCTGTATGAAGGAATTTTGTTGCCTTTCCTGTGTTGCGCAATTAGAGAGAGCAGAGTGAAAATAAACAGTAACTGGAGATTACTAAATTACTGCTACTAGTTTTCTAAGGACTGAGGCATATGTAATTGTGTTGTCTGTCTGTCCTCTCCAGCCAATTTTTAATCTGCTGGATAATTTTGACTAGTTTGGAAAGGGTGTGGAAGGAGGAAGCCTAGTTGAAAAAAATACACATTTTTTAAAATTCTGTGAACATCAGCAGCTGAGCAGCAGTCAGACTGACAAACATTGCTAAATGAAATACTGCAGCCTGATCTCATCAGTTATTCTTCCAGCTTGGCTAAGGACCTAGTTATCAGCCTGAATGTCCAGCTGTCAAGTGTAAATGGCAGTCAACAAGGGAGGTGAACTCTGGAGTTTATCACAGAAACAAAAAGATTAGATGCTTTACCCTACTTGATTATCATTCCCTTGTGTCACAGTCCTAGCTCTAAACCTGTGCTCTCTGAAGGAAGATCTCTGCTGGTAGTCTGGCATGGTTGGGCAGGAAATCACATTGATTCCTGCTGTGCCACTTCCTGAAGCAGCCTGCTGTGTTAGGCATTAGTGCTCAAAGTCCCTGGGCATCCTACAGCATTCATCTCCAGAAGTTCTCATGCATGGTCCAAAGGCCATGTAGAATCAAGAAAAAAACATTTGAATGTGTTCAATTGCTTTATTCTTTCTCTAATTCTAAAAAGACTTCATAACAGAAATTTGGATCATAACATGTTAATTAAAAAATACTTATTCATGGTCTTTCTTAGAGAATGGATTTTTGATGCATTGTAAAACATAATAAAATTTTAATTCTGCTTCAATTTGCTGAGAATTACTTATTTTAAGGAGAACTGTACTTTTTCAGTACTATATGCTTCAGAAGCTTGAATGTAAAACAGCTTACAGCTTTGAGGACTCAAAAAAGGAGTAATGTCTCTACAGTGTATAATTCAAAGACAGTTTCTTTGTTTTCTGTCTGTTTGTATTCCAATTGGCAATGAGGACATCACTGGCACTAGAAAGTAGCATTGTATCCTTAAAAGGGAGAAAGATGCAATTAGAGGTGGTGGAACATGAGACAGGATGAAAAAGGTCAGCAGAATAACTCATATGAAACATTTCAGAGGTTGATTATTTTCTTCACAATTCAGAGCCCCTGTTTCTTTCCCCAAGAATTTTTGTGCATCTCATAAAAGAAAACTTCAGGTGGCAGACCTGCAAATGGAAAGCACATTGTTAGTGTTTTCTAGAGTTTGGTGTTCATTTTATTTACCATATGTAAGCAGAAGGAACATATAACTACTTGAGCATACAGTTTGAATGACTCTGGTGGCAATGTTAATCCACTCACCTCACAGAAGAGTTCAAGGACCCCTAATGTGGGCTATATTCTATGTCACCATGGAGGTCAGCAGCAGCAGAAACCTGCACTTTGGACCCCTGGCTTTAATGTATGAAATAGAAGAAGCAGAATGAAGGAAAATGGGAGACACTCAGTCACTATTTATGACACTGTTAGGAGAAGAAGAAAATTATACACTGAGTGAATGTGTATTATATAAAAAAAGGGTTATTTCTGACTTGTGAAGCGTAACCTAAAGTTGAAGATGGAAGGTACTTTTTAACCTTCCTTTACTACTCCTGAAGCAGAGAATGTGATTTCAAAGTACAGGAATTCAGGCCTTCACAGAAGGAAAGAGTCAATTTTACTTATCTTCCTAAACATTCTGTCCTGCTGCTACAGAAACCATTCTTCTTTTTTCATTCTACATCCTGTAACAGGCAGCTCTGACCTGTTAGAAAACAACCCTTCAGTGCCCTAATATGAATATTATAATTCCACCAGTCTAAACAATTATTAGAGGGTGGTAATATCTTCTTTTACAAAAATGCTACAGTTCTCTTGTCTATAGGATAGAAAATGACCAAAGGGCCTTTGGATTTTAGAACTTTGGATTTAAATATTCTTTTTGTATATATTTTACATATTCTGTGAGAGTTATATATAAATCTCTAAAAATGCACATATAAAATTTTGGTAAGTGTAAAAATGGCCACAAGTAACTCAGGGATTTAAAACAGCTGAAGTTTGCTTAGCTATTCATCATCTTAATCTATACAGTATTTGTAATTTCTTTGTAGTTTAATAACACTGATTTCAGCTTGAAAGCAAATGTAAAGACAAAGTATCTGGTTAGGGCATATGATAAAAACTTATATCCAAATCAAAGTTTAGGAAGAGACTAATTATTTACATCATCGTATGTATGTAGAAGTTATGGGTGCTTTCATGGTCAGGCTGAGATACTCTCTTTACTTTACATCCTTGAATATGACTTTTATGACCTGCTGATTCTCTGTCACTCAAAATTCACATCAGATGTGAAGGATACTGGTTACATCTGACAGTTGTCTCTCTTCCTTGGCTAGATCATCCTTTCCTTTGTGAACTGTATATGGAAGATTACTCTCTGCCAAGCATATCTCACATTTCTTTCTTATGGTGTATGTTTATCCACTTGACATTTGCATTGTTCTGTGCACACCAAAGACACTGGGGGTGATATTAGAACAACATTTCTTGCTGTCTTTGAGATAGCATCAAGGCAGAGGCGCTCACTTGGTGTAATATTCTTTGAAACAATCATGCATATTATCCAAACTTGCATGCTTAAAATGCATGCAAATCTCTATCACACCATTTTGCAAAAATTGTATATCCAATTCAGATGTATGGAGAGAAATTGTAAGAATATTTATCAGGTCTATTTATTCTGAAAACTTTTGGGTTTGGGTGTTTTTTTTTGGGGTAGCTCCTATTAACACCGAGTAGGTAAAACGAAACCCCAAATTTTTCAAATTCGGTTTTCCAAAATGTTTGCCTCTGCTTCAGCAGTTCTACCCTCATTACATTAAGATGGGAGTGTTACCTCTGATCTAAGGCAGGAATCGTGCAGGGCGTTTATTCAACAGTGCACTCGTGTGGCAAGACTCGGGAAGTACATAGATAATATATCACAGAACTCCTCGAATACAATATATTTTCCTTATTACATAAGAAAATACAAAAAAGTTCTTATAGATTGATACAATGATGTTTCCTGGTACAATCCTTTTTTTAAAATTATTTTTTAGCCTACTTTGATTGCATACCTAGAAAAAATATTCTCTTTCAAATACTTTGTGATACAAGTCAGAGCTCCCAATAAAGCATATTATCTTGTTTTGTCATATGCAGGCTGTTCTTCACTAAAATTTAATTTCAGTGTGTTGACTCAATATCTCAACTTCTTTCATCACCATAAATTTCAATTTTTGACAGGAGATCTGAATATAGCTGAGATTTTATCACACCAAAATCTCTGAACACGTTTTGTGGCTACTCAGCCTATGAATTGTATGCAGAATTATGACTACAAGTTCTCATAGTCTCAAAGCAAGGCCACACATATAGCAAGAAGCAAAAACTTCTATTAAGCTACTGCTACTATTGTTGCAGAGAGGATAAATGAGCCAGGAAGTGAGTGTTGCAGGTCAGACATCCAACAGGCACAAAACTTCTAAAAGAGCTGCCAGGCTCATCTAGTTTTATTTAATCTACACTAGAAATTCCCACTGTTACTTGAATGGCTGCTTTCCTCAGTTATGTTTTTCCTACAGTTGATTTAACCTCCACACATGTTGCTGGAATCCCTCCACCACTCCTGTCCCTCTGATGATGACTTTCCACCTTCAGCTTGGAGTGGGACTTAGACAAGATGAACACTATTCCTGAGATCAGTTACTGAAGAAAACACAACACAGCATTCCCTCCTTTTTGCAACAGGACATACTGGTCTTTATGGTCCCAGTACAAGAAAGGCATTCAGACTCTACAAAGTATCATTGCAAATGCAATTTCTTAGAGTTAACATTATAAGAAAAGAGAAAATGGTTATCCTACAGCATTTCACAAACCATAAGCAGTGCAGCATCAAAAGAATCTGTAATGAGGGTGCATCATGAAGACTCTGTCTGTGGAAGGGCTATCCCATGGTGGTCATCCAAGCTATAAGAAGATTTCCTTTACAAATCCCAAGTTTCTGCAGTTTTAGATAGAGGAAAGACTATGGAGATGCCAGTACAGCGTGGGACCTGCCCACAGCAGTGTGCTACTTGAATTTATCCTGTGGCCGTGGGATACGCCCAGCAGAACACAGACACTTGAGTTAACTACTGCATGGATCACTACAGTCTTAATGCACAATGATCCTTCCAAGCAGGTTCACCTTCCTGCAGTGTGGAGGCATTTATTCCCATTAAGGGAACTCAATTACGAGCAAGATCTCTGAAGAACAAGAATGCCCATACAGAAGTAGAGGGTTTTTTTCCCCTGCTCCCTTACATTCATTCTCTTCCCCTCTCTCTCCCTCAGCAGGGCGCCCTCAGCTTTTCATATCTTTAGGAACGTGAAGAGGATAAAACCAAAGTCATACACAGAGGTGTGTCTCCAAGTGCTTTGCAGTGCTGTGGAGACCATTACAACTGTGGAGTTCCCTGGCTTCCTGGTGTCCCTTAGGATCTCTTACGGGGTGAGAAGGACTGGAGGAAACGTGAGGGCAAACGTGAGAGGACTACAAGCGCACCCCAGGCCAGGACAGCGCCGTCAGTAGCAGCCTCCCCTCACAAGGCACCAACTCCTAAGGCAAATCGTGCAGAACCGAGTGCAGAACTGAGTGCTTCTGTGAGCTGCTGCCTCGCTTCGGCGGCTGAACACTTGTGGTGGCACACTTCTGACGAGAGACGACAGACCCGTCGGGCGGCACGCTCCCCTCAGCCGCAGCACAGGCAGCGCAGCCCCGCGGGGCGGCGCCAGCGGCGCGGAGGCGCCCCCGGCGGCCGCGTCCCGCCCCCCGGGCCGGCGGGGCGCTGAGCGGTGTCTGTGTGCGCAGGTGAGCCCGGTGCGGATGCGGCGGCCGGGCGAGGCGCAGCGCCGAGCTCCCCGGCAGGTGCCGGAGAACGAGCCTGGGGCCGGAGACATGGAGCCCGGCGGGGACGTGCCGGCGGATCGGCCCTCGGCCCTTCGGAGTGGGATGGAGGAAGCTGAGAAGGAGGCAGATGATGAGGGAGGGAAGGCTGCCTGGCAGCAGAGCCTGAATCCCGAGCTGCAGCAGGGGTACCGCATCCTGCGCGAGTTCCTGCTGGAGAAGTACCGGCCTCTGACGGCGCCGTTCCTGGAGCCCCTCGCGGATCAGGCATTTTTCGGGGAAGAAGGCTCTGGCTCCCTCTTGGGCCGTAAGAGCAGCCAGTCCTTGCAGCAGTTGCCCGCTGGAATATGGCTATTGAAAATGGAAGAGAAATTTTCCAGTGGGCAGTACACAGGGATAGCAGATTTCGTGTGTGACTTCCGGCTCATGCTGGAGACTTGCTATCGGCTGCACGGTGTGGATCACTGGCTCTCCAAACAGGCCCAGAAGCTGGAGATGATGCTGGAACAGAAGTTGGCGCTGCTGTCCCGGTAGGTGTAGAAAACTGTAGGGGCCGTGCCGCGTGTTCTTTACATAAAGTAGAACAGGAGGGTGTGCTTCTTGAAATTCCGTTAAAAGAAAAGAAGCGTCGAACAAAACCGACAACAGAAGGAACACTGGAACTTCCAGTAATTTCAGTAAGATTAACGTTTCCTACTGGGAACTATTCAAATCTTAATTCAAAATGCTTTGGAATTCCAAACCTCAAAATGCCAAATAGAGCACAGCATTTCCTGACTAAGATTTTCCCTCTGAAAGAAGCCTTTTGTGAACATGGAGAGACACTTGTTTACACAAGATGTCAAATGCTTTTTCTTTATTTTATTCTGTCGTGAAACTGGGCTAAACTCTGTATGAATATTTGGCTATTTGAAATTGTTATTTTTATAATCTGTGAAATTTTTACCGCCCTTAAAATATGTAGGAATAAAATACTAAGCCGAAATGACCTGCTTTGAAACAGTAATCATAATCATATAATGAGACACAATGCTTGCCATACGATAGTCTTAAATGGCAAAATGGAAATCATGGTAAGTTGAAATGCAAGTCTTGGGCAGGGACTGCTTTCTTATCAGCCAAAGCAGCTGAAACATAGAAAGCTCTCGAGCTGTATAGTAGAAAGGCCAGTTTAAATCACAACTGAAGTGTATGCTTTCTCATGAACTTGTCATAGTTTAGTCATTATCAGAAAACCGTGGTGGCTTCTTACAGTTTCTGAATGACATAGTATTCTGCATGTGAAAATGAAGAGGTGTTTTTCGTGAAGGATGAAGGTAAAGAAGGAACGATGTTGTATGTAAAGCCGTATATGTTTGCTAGTGACACACATCGTGAACTGCCAGCTGGTAAGAACGTTGCTCGTGTAGGAAGAACACTTCAGGAAAGTGGTGCGGAAGTCACCTGAAAGCAGAGTGAATGTATTCAGTGCTGCTGTAGCCAGAGTATAATTGAAACTGTTTCTGTGTAATGGCAGTTTTGGGATAGTTTGGTAGTAGAAAGGAAGGAGCTGAACATAGTGGGCCATGAATGTTCCTAGTATGCTAAAGTAAAACCTGATTTAAAAAAAAAAATAAATTCCTGGCTTACTTAATAGATTAACTGCTGGCAGATAACTAAATGCAACTACGCAGATTTTGTGTTCTCAAATAGCAATATAGATATTTACTAAAAATAAATTTAATTGCTTTTGTCATTCTTCCATTTAATGGACAGTCTTTTTCAGATAAGTATTAGGAAATACTGAACTGTCTAAAGATAATCCTGCCCCAGTATATAGTGAATTTGTCTTGTATTAACTCTTCAGAGATTTGTAAAGATTTTTTCATTATGTCTCTGTGCACTAGCTTAATAAAAATTTCTAGGACCTGTAAGTATAAAAGATTATGGAACCTAGAAGTCTCAAAGTTCTTTTACAATTTTTAATTAGACAAATTTGTTTGAAATGTTTAACATAATTTTATTTGTAAAATGAAATTGAAGAACTACTTCTTGGAACAATCATTCTTACATTATTACAGAGTAGTGTTTAGGTCAATGATCCCCTTCAAGTGATTCAATCCATATTGGTTGTACAATTCCTGAATGCTACAAGCCACAGAATATTACCTTAGAATGGAGGTTCCTTTTGAATGGAGGTTGGATTTTTCTCCGCTGTCCCTCTAATGTTTTCACAGGTTGTGAAAAAGTCATTCAAGTTTTAATGGAGTCTTTTGAAACAATGTAAGAAGAAATGTAACTTTGCAGATAAGTTTGTAGTGTTTTGTCTTTCAGTTTTTGTAGTTTAAAATAGGATGAAACTGGTATTTAACATATGCTTTCCCAGGCTAAACCAACTAATAGATCCCCAACTGCCCCACTAACAGACCCCATCACCCAGCCCCCTATTTTTACATATCTGCTAAAAAGGATACTTTCTTGTCTTAGGTTTTGTGGAAGTTTTTTCTTTCCAAATACTTATGGACTAAAAGAATTCCATCTCCAAATAATATTTGGCAATTTGTTGTAAATATACAGTTTTTAGCTGGTGTGAAAACATAGGTCATATTAGTGTGTTGGGTTTAAGTTTAGAATTTTATAAAGGAATTTTCAAAATAGAAAAAATGGCTGGTGAAAAAATAACTGTTTTTTTCTGAGTAAGCATGCTTGATCCATGGTTGGTAGGCTAGGCATTGAGGTGCCACTGGTACAGAAATTTGTAGTTGTGAATTGGCTTGCTTTTTTCTTCTAGGCATTTAAGAGAGAAAACATCATTAGCAGTAACATCTAGAGGATGCTATGGGCAGGAGGAGGAAAAAACAGCAGCATGCATTTCTACAAGACGTCGTTCCACGCCTCGCAGTTTAGTAGGTTTGTCAACAGGCATGTTTGAGTCTGTGATGGTTCAAGTTCTAAGACAAGAGGAGCAACTGAGAGCAAAAGAAGAAAAGAGGTAATAAGAAAAACTATTTAGTTTTGGTTTTAAATAGTTGTCTTTCTAGCTTTGTAAAGAGGCTAGCTCCTTATAGCTTTTTTAGGTAAGTAAATGTGGCGCTCTTGTGGTCTCAAGTTCATGACTTCAGTACAGTGCATTCACAAAGCAAAAAGTTGTTACCACTTCCTTGAAAAATTGCTGAGGTAATTTAAATTTTTAATTAAATTACAGCTGCTCTTATTTTAGTGTAGCAAAACTTGTAATATTAACTAAAAGTATGCACAGTAATTTCCTGCTAGTGCATTATGGTTTATGATACGTATCCTTGGACAGTTCTTCATGCAATAATTAGATTAAAAACTAACAGAATGCTTAACTACAGTCTAATTCCATGATCTTGTCACTGCTTCTCTCACTGATGTTTTACTTTAGGAAAATGAAGCTTTGAAGTTTGTTTACTTTATCAGTAATTTGAGTGACTGTGTCTAAACATGGCTCACAATCGTAAGACAGTCTTTGCTTCAGGAAGCAAAATGTTTCTAGCTTTTTACAAAGTTTAGAGCTTTGTAGACTTTTACCCATATGTGACCAGCATGCTTTTAGTTTTGCAGGTCATCTTAATTTTCAGCAGATATGGCTGACTTAAGTGTTAGACAGTACCTTTTTCTGTAGAACTTTCTTCTTTCTTCCAATCCACTAATCTTCTAATCACACTTTGCCGAAGGAAAAAAAATAAAAAATCACTAGGGTTATTGTTTCTTTGGTAAAATTTACTTGTTATGTTAGACAGGACCTTTTTCTGTAGAATTTTCTTCTTTCTTCCAATCCACTGATCTTCTAATCACACTTTGCCAAAGGAAAAAAAAAATCACTAGGGTTATTGTTTCTTTGGTAAAATTTTCTTGTTTTTTGCTCAAATCTGTGTTCTAGAACTTGATAGCAATGTTATGAAAAAGGATATTTTGATTGGATTTTAATTCATTGCTAGAGTAGAACAGTTTACCAAACAAAATAAAAATTATGCTTTTATACACCTGTTTTAAGTACATTGCTGCAAAACTGTAGTAATTAACTTTAAGTCAGTGTATCTGAATATATTCAAAAGTCCCAGATACTGGACAAAAGATGGTTGATTCCACTGAATGTTTGTTCCACAATAACAGAAAATGACCACAACTAGCTTGCCTCTTTACACCCTAAAATTTTGAACTGTGCCACCTATTAAGCAAAAAAAAAATCTGTCAGTAGATAGCTGGTTTAATATTTCTTTGACTCTATTAACCTCTCTAAGTAATTTTGCTTCAGATTTCTTCTCTCAGTTTTATTTCTTAATTGCACCATGTTTTTAAAGTAATTTGTACTTCTCTGTACCAATTGTTTGTCAGCTCGCCAAAAATGTTCCAGAAGTACCTTTTCTGAGTATTTTCATGAAAAGGTCTTGGCAGTTGGAAGGCCTGTAGAGTTAGTTGCACATTTCCAGTGAAGATCACATTTTACAGTATATACAAATTTTCAAATTGGTGTGCAAATAGATGCACCATTAACTTTAAGTCAATGTATCTGAATATACTCAAAAGTCCAGATACTGGACAAAAGATGGTTGATTCTACTGAATGTTTGTTCCACAATAACAGAAAATGACCACAACTAGCTTGCCTCTTTACACCCTAAAATTTTGAACTGTGCCACCTATTAAGCAAAAAAAAAATCTGTCAGTAGATAGCTGGTTTAATATTTCTTTGACTCTATTAACCTCTCTAAGTAATTTTGCTTCAGATTTCTTCTCTCAGTTTTATTTCTTAATTGCACCATGTTTTTAAAGTAATTTGTACTTCTCTGTACCAATTGTTTGTCAGCTCGCCAAAAATGTTCCAGAAGTACCTTTTCTGAGTATTTTCATGAAAAGGTCTTGGCAGTTGGAAGGCCTGTAGAGTTAGTTGCACATTTCCAGTGAAGATCACATTTTACAGTATATACAAATTTTCAAATTGGTGTGCAAATAGATGCACGTACTTTCAACACTATTTTTATTTGAAAATGTATTGCAAATTCTAAGCTTTTGGCTTATTGCTAAAGTATGTATTATATTATTAAGAAGAGAAAATGGTCATTCTGCCACATTTTTTTTGTTTTCTTTAGAAATCTAATACACTGAGGTTGGCACAGAAGAGATACTTTCTAAACAGTATGAAAGACTGCAGCCTTGGGTATTTCAGTTGGAGCGCACAGTGCTGGCGAATCAGTTGTATTTGGATAGGCAGCATCTGCTCTTCACCCATCTTTCAAATGAGTTATCAGGAACATGGAAAAAGGGCTCAGTTTCTGACCACCTAGTAGGCAACTCAAAGTGCTTGTAGCTGTGATTTATGCTTGTAGCCATAAATAATCTTAGTTTAGAATGTCTAAGAGTTACATACTTTCAGTCCCAGAAAAGTGAGACTGCAAATGCAAGGGCCTTTCTATTAAACTTAGCATCATATCTAAAGAAATTGCCTGTTGAAGTCCAAGTCTATATATAATTTTTTTCTTTATATATTTAGATACTTTCATAAGACACAGACATTTTATGATGAAAATTAAACTAAAAATAAATTTAAAATACTTAAACATAAAAATATATATCATGATGTATATTGTATAGAAATAAAAATAAAATACAAATTAAATTTGTTGATTAAATCCTTAAAATACTTTTTGATTATTTCTTTCCCACAAAATCCTTGACATTGTTTTTGCAAGCATTTTTTCAGCTGCATATTTTGGAAGAATATTCTGAAGTGGGATTTTTATCTTCTCTTCTGTAGTTAACTACTGGGAAATCCTCCTCCAAATCTTTTAGACACTTTTATCCTTTGTTGAGAGTTCTCTTTCTCTTTAATTTATCCCTGTCTTGCGCAATCAGATTAACTTTTCTTTATGCAATGTTTTATAACTTTTCCCAAGTGACACATTCATAATGGTAGATTCAACGTGTAAAAAGTGACAAGATATTGTTGCAAAGCTGAATTCACTATTTTGCAACTAACAGTTCTTGTACAGCAGCAAAAGCACTTTCCACCAAAGTACCTATATGACAAGATCTGATTTACTTTTGTTGTCATTCTTGTTTGTAAGCATTCCTTTTATTCAAATGTTGTAATTTTCAGAATATTGACTATCTTCTTCAAATTATGAATTACATTTCTATGAGTTTATTCAGGTGCTTGGTTACATGCTAGGTAATTAACAAATCAACTAATTTAAACATTAGTGAACAATCAATAGTTGTAGCATTATTTTATAATTGGAAATTATGACTAGTTAGTTAGAAACTGAAATATAAAGGAAGATTCCTACCGAAATTTTTAAAACCACCAGTGAATGGCAGATAATTGACTGGTTGATTTTGGTGGAAATTAAGTGTCTGTATGGGTTTGCTTTGTTGAAAATTATGTAGGTAGTTCTCTATCTTTCATCTCTGAAAACATGATCCTGGGATAGGTTTCAGACATGTTCATTAAAACAAAGAATTGAATTCTGGCTGCAAGTTAGTAATTTAGTTAAGGAAATTGTGGAATAAGGTATGCTTATATAGTCAACTTTGCTTTTTATGAGGGTGTTAGCATGGAATTATCTGGATCCAGTGGTAAAATATGGGGTATGTAATAATATGATTAAAGATATTTGAGATAAGGTTTTATGGACATCTCCAAATTTAGTATCTTCTGACTACTAAATCTTGGCTTATTTTAGAATAATATATAATATTGTTAATCTGTATGTAACTTTCTATTTTATTTTTAAGAGCAAGTTTGTAAAAACAAGTTGTTGTTAATTAAAGCAGTTCCCTGTGTCTTGTCATTAAGAGTTCCAGTGTCTGACCTTTTACCTGTGAATCAACACCTAAGTAGGTTAGAGGTGGTAATAGGGAAAACAAAATAAAATCTGGGCTTTGTCTCCTCACCAAGAAATCTCCTGTTGCAAGCAAGAAGAAATTTGCTGGTGATATGTGTTGGCTGCCTTAAATAAGGAGGGAAATTATAAGAGTAGGGAGTTATGAGCAGGGACATTGTTTCAGGTGTTAGCTCTACTTAGGAATCATGTTTACACAGTTTTAGAAATCAGATGCCACTCAAGAGCTGCAAAACAACTGCTGCAGATGTGTTCTAGAAATATGGCCATTCTTAGTCTAGAAAATAAGCTTCACCTTAGGATAGTTCTGTAATTACTCTAAGTACTGTAAGTCCAGTACATGTATGCAAACATATTTCTGTAAATGTAACTAAAAGTATGAAACAAGTTTTTTTACAGTTGCTGTCATTATGAAAGCCAAATGTGTATGTCCAGAGAATTTCTCAATATAAGGGTATCTGTACCACTAAAGTATCAAATGTCTCTCTTCCCTCCCTCTCTCCAGTTTCTCTCTTCCTTCACCCTTGCTCCCTTGCCCTGTGTCCTATGCCCTCTTTACTTCCCTTTATCCTCTCAAAATTACCCCAGGAAAAAGCTGTACTCTTCAAAAGCAGGAAGACCTCCATAATGAAGATGTAAAACTATGCTATTATTTAGATTTTTTTTCTTGAATATCTGCTGATAATAGAATGACAACATATATTGTCATTCATATAAAACATATAAAACAACACCTTAAAAACAAGGCAAACTTTTTACACGTGAAACAACTCACAGTTTTCTTTTTGAACAACCTTTCAAAACATTCTTAAAAATTATACAGTAATTGTAATTTTATCTAAGCAGAGGTATCTATCTATCTGTGAATCCAGGGTATTATATTTATTTTGATAATTCTACCTTGATTTAACTTACTACTTGGTAAGAAGTTGAAACTGCTTGTGAAGACAATATTTTTTGATTGCCTACTGCTTTTTCTTATTAAATGATACTGAAATGTTGTTGTTTCTACCTGTGTTCCCTCTCACCATGTACTCACTGTTTAGTCTTGTTGCCATACCATATTAATAGAGTTCACACCTTTTGGAGGCGAGAGGTTATTAGGAAGCATGTTTTACGTTTAGGAGGAATGAGGGAGTGGGATCCAAGAGTGCTATGAAATTTATATTTGAGACCACTTTTGCATAATATAATTTCTTCCTTTGTGTCACTGTGGCATTAGTTATTTTTATTTATTTAATTTATTTTTATTTATTATAACAATGCAATATTAGCACATTTAAATAGAACATAAATTAGAATAAAAATAATGCCCACTTCACATGTGCAAGTAGTATTGTTGAATTTAGTGGTTTGTTCACCAAGAATGGCTAACAGAAGTTTGTGCTGAAAAGTGGGATTTTGTCTTTATATTCTTAAGTTAATGCTGTACTGGGAGACAGATTTTAAGAATTTACTGACCTATTTGCTTTTACCTTTTATGTTTTACGTAAGTCTGTACTTCTGCATTTACTAGATATATAAATAACAAGAATGCATGTATGTGGTATTAAACATTTTTGTACAAATATATAGTAACAAGTCACAGAATATTTAATTTTATTATAGAATATAAAGTATTCAGTCAAGTCTTACTGTATTTTGTTACTTTTCATACACATGGCCTGTTTCTCCTGTGCCGATACTAAAATGTGAACAAAACTACATTTGTTGCCTTTTTTAATTGTTGAGATAGCTAGTAAATAGTTAATGGTTGAAATATATGCGCTTCAAGCTAGAAGCAACTATCAGCTTCATGTTGTCAAAAGAAATATTTTAATTTATTATTACTCTTTTGCTGAATTTGGAAGGCATTGATGCTTTGAATAGATACATGGCATTTACTTGGAACTTGTTTATGAAGAAATAAAATTGGAGGTTTGCAATTTGGAAATAAGGATGTGTATATGTAGCAGGTCACATTTGTGTTAGAGGCAGGTGATAGTTTTCACCAATGATAGACCTTCAGAGAAGAAGATAAAAGAAGCTTAGGATGACTTCTAAAAAAATTTTCTGTAAGTACAGCTGTATCCTAATCCTGTCTTTTGGAATCTGGTTGTGTCTTCACGCAAAAATGTTAGTTTACTAGTGCAGCAGCGTTAAAGAAAATTTACTTCTGTTGGTAGCTTTTGATATTTGTATGATTCGTGCAGATGTCCAGTTTTCTGCTTTGGATATAGATTGAAATATCTTGTGTCGTAGATGGTAAACTACATGTAATTGATGATATGAAATGAAAGCATTTCTTTTTCCAAAAAGTGTTGCCCTTAAATTTCATTATGAATTTACAAATAAAATCAAATAGAAGTTCCCAGTCTGTCATATGAGGTTTGCATACTGCTGTCATGTTTCCTCTTGCTAGTGTTTTGTGTGGATTCCCAGATTACTCAGAAGTTTTTACAGGCTTCTGGTTATTGATAACTTCTTTCTCCGAATGCATGTTATTTCTGTTCTATCCTGTTTTTTAAATAGGGGGACCAGAACTGAATAAATTTTCTCAGGTGAGGGCAAACCAATTAATAGCATAACATTTTATTTTTGGTATTATTTCCCATCACATTCTTTGTGTGTCCTTATACTTGTTTCTTTTTGACCACCACTGCAAACTGACTAGTAACACAACTTGGGGTGGGAGGTAAAATGGCTCTTGTGCGTGTAAATGAAGCACTTAGTAATTAGGCAGGTATACTTGTGTGCTGAGGAAGGGAGGTAAAAGGGAGGTGACATGAGCCACAGGGCAACCGTTTCAAAACAAGATTTACCTGGAATTTGTTTCAGAGATTTTTGTGTGGATAGTTTGTTGGAAATATTTAATTCTGTTTAAAAGATATTGAGGAAGGAAATATATATATATTTTTAAAATGCCTGAAAGTCTAAACAGCTCGAATTATTGATATATGCCAGGCTTTTTTCTTATCTTTTTCCCTTTTTAAAACTAGTGGTGATAGAAAAAAATTACAATAATTTCCCATTTTGGCTGATGCATTCTACACTGTAAAGTAAGACAAACTGAAGTAAAACTTCAGTTTTACTGTGCTCTTGTTAACTTGGAGATAAGTATGTTTGATGTACTGTAGTTCTGGGTTTTTTTCCTCTGTCATTTCTTTTTGTTCACCTACTATTTGAATTTTCATGAAATTTCTTTTAATAGGCAGAGAGATCAAGAAAGAAAAGAAGCAGAAGAAGCTAGTCAGAAAGAAATAGAAGAATGGGAAAAATCACTTTTAGCTCAAGCAGCACCTACAAGGATGGAGACAATGTGGGAGATTCCAGCTATTGGTCATTTTCTGTGCTTGGCCCAACAGATTTTAAATTTACCTGAAATAGTATTCTATGAATTGGAACGTTGTCTTCTGATGCCTCAGTGTAATGTTTTTTTATCTAAAATAATGACTTCTTTGTTAAGTCCTCCTCATCGCAGACCTACATTACATCGCAGGCCTACATTTTCCTACAGGACTTGGGAAGCAGCACTCAGAAAGAAAGTGCAACACTGGTATACTGTTGTGGGGCAGACTGACAATCCTAATGGTGCTGCAGAAAAACTTGGATTGTGTCCCCAGTTTTTCAAAGTTCTCGGAGAAGTTAATCCCTTGGAGGATAAACCATTTCATGAGCTGCCATTCTATCAAAAAGTATGGCTGCTAAAAGGTCTCTGTGACTTCGTATATGAAACACAAAAGGATGTTCAGGATGCAGTGCTAGGTCAGCCTATCCATGAATGCAGAGAAGTAATTCTTGGTTATGACTGCTTGGAAAATGCATATGTTCATTTTCCACAGTTCTGTGGTGCAGATGTTCGAATTTACAAACAAAAACCTTTTCGGGCTCCTGAATTCCCATCTCTTCCCATCAAAGTTAAAAAAGTACCACGTATTAAATCGGAAAGAGTAAAACATGAATATGGAAGCAAAAACAATGGGGAGGTCAGTTCTGCTGGGAGAGAACTGCTGTGTCATTCCAAGACAGAAGGAGAGAAAAGTAGGGATATTGTTATTTGTCCAGAAAAAAGAACACGTTTAGGCAGCTTTAGAGTCGCTACAGAGGAGCTGAAGGTTGACTGTGAAATAAAAGGCTCAAGAGTTTGTGACATCAAAAAACCTGGTTGTTATAAAGAGAACTTAAGGAATTTGATTACTTCAGAAGAGATTGTGGATATGGGTGGTCACCCAAGTTCAGAAGAAATAACAGATGTGGAGAATGGACAAGGTTGCACTGAAATGGCCAGAGTAAGATCTGAGCTGAGTCCATTCAAGGTGAACACACTGAAAGCTTGCCAAATGCATGTCAATGGCACTTATAATGAAAACCAAGGCAGAAATTACCATGAGTCTGCTGAAGAAATGGTGCTAGAGACCTTACTGCAAAATAATAAGAAATTAAATAAGATGCTGGCAAAAAAGAAGAAAAAGAAAAAAAAAAAGTTGAAGGATATTCTAAATGAAAATCTACAGAGAAAATTTGATGACTTGCAAAGAAAGCGTGAGATTCATCTTCACCCATTCAAATCTTATAAGTCTGAGATCCAGAACAAATTGTTTTTAATTAAAAAGAAAGCAAAACATAAGAAGCACAAGTCCGGTAAGTTGACATTTTTACTTGTAGTAAAAATTAGGAGGATAGAGATGTTTTTTTAAAGTTGTTTTCTTAGTTGATAAGTTACATTTTATTTTGTGATAAAGGACAGCCTTATTGCCTTAGACAATTTGGATATTAACTTTAGAGTCAAAGTTACCTGCCTGATAACACAAGCATATAAAACATTGTTTGATTACACTGTTATTCATTTGCAGAATGTATCTTTAGAGAACATAATTACAAGAGTTAATTTGTTGCAAAAAATATTCAGGACAATAAATTTAACTGACTGGTTAGCATCAGAGAGTGTCACTTGAAGGCATTTTATGGTATCTTATATTATAGCAATTGTGAAAATGTTTCTCTATTTTCTGTTTTATATTACTTTATCCAAATTATGAAGAAATACAGAGTAATTACATGAGATGATGAATCTAAAATCATTCATAGTGAAACTGTGCAGTGTTAGGTCACCAAACAGTACTGCTTTGATTGTGGGCCTGGGTCCAATAATCAAGATGCATCAGAATTTATGCTGATGACATTTTTATTACAGAATTGGGCAACATCTGGTTAAGTGTTTCAGGTAAGTGATACACAAACCAGATTTCAGTTAACTCACTGGAAAATTTCAAAGGTATTTGCAGAGTACAGCTACAAAGACCTTAAGTAAGTTCAAATTGTTCAGGTAGCTGTAGTATTTTTGATGTCATGTGAAGCAGCGTAAAAGCTTAATCTGTTTGAGTCCTGAGCTAAGCCATCTCTGCTAGATTTTAGCAGATTCTTTCCAACATTATATTTTTTGAAGTGACAGGCTGCTTTTCAGAACAGTGTAGACTGACAGATAAATATTGGATTTCATCTGAAAAGCAGAAAGCCAAAATCAAGAATCTGAGTGACAAAAAAATGTCTTCTAAAGGTTAAGAAACTAGTCAAGGTCTGATGACAGTGCATGTAGCTAGAAGTCAAAATTTAAAGCTAAGAGAACAAGTAATGTTTAGATCCTAAATATTTGCACATAACAGCCAAAGAACTGTCTTACTATTTAAATCGCAAATTCCTCCCTCCAAAATATTTTATTGCCCACATCTAAACAGAAGTTTCAAGAGTTGCAGTTGAAGTTCATATATGTAGTATTCAGGAAAACTAATGTATTTTACATTTACTTTTGTGACTTAGCTCTCCACATGTGTCACTGTTTTCAGTCTTAAAACCAAGCAAACTGAATAACAACCCAAATGGCAAACAAGGACTCTAGTTTGGAGAAGTGTTGTCCTTTATCTTCTGATTTGTTGATGCATTTCCCATCTTATTCTGACTACTTCTTGATTTGACCTTGCTGGAGAAAATTTTGCAATAACTTTACGGCATTGCAAGAAAGCACTTTTCTTCCTATGGTTGTTAAATCTCCATTGGTCCTGTAGCTGCTAGGCTGAAATGGATAGGATTGGATTCAATTTGTGCAAATATATTGTTGTTTTGTAATGTTTCCCAATGTTTAAGGCTAAGTAGTATTTCTTAAAGATTGTCTGAAATTAAATCTTTTGTTTAAAGATTCCCTTACAATGTAGAGCAGAAAAAGTGATTTAGTAAAGCTTTTTCTGAGTCCCCAAAGACAGCTGATTTAAACCTGATCCTAGTCATAAAAACTCTTTACAATGTTATTTAAAAGTACAGTAAGTAGAAGAGAACATCAGGAATGTAAAAGTGAGTATTTTTCATTACTTTTCAACAAAATTATTTTTTTCCTGCTATTGGTTCTCTTAGGCAGCTAAGTGGAACTGTGAGTCACAGTTTGTGTTTCTATTGAGATGATTTACATATTCCTCACTTGCTGTGGCAGTGGTACTCATAGTGAATATAGACTGGTCATTTCAGTTTTTCCATCTGAAAATACTTCACAGAAGTATTGTGAGAGGAACTTACTGGAGAATATAGCTATATTATGACCTTTACCATAGTGACAAAGTTTTCTTACCATTTATGAAAAGGTGTGACCACTTTACTGAATCTATGTCTTTGAAACAAGGTGATGGTTATTACTGGGCAGTGTTCTGTGTCAGAATTATTTACAGAGTATTACTGAATGTAATGGAAAGACAGAGTCAGAGCAGTTCTGTAAAAAACTGCATGTTATGCATTAATTTTTTAATGCTATTTTCTTACCGGAGTTAGGTAAGTTTCAGTGCAAGGCACAGCGCAAGACCGTGAGAATCCTACAACTGCATGTTTGAAACAGGGATTGGATGAAATTCAGAACATTTGTAGGGTTGGGAAAATAGAAGGGACCAGAGGCTGCTTGAAATAACTGTGATGTGCCTGATGTAGTGGTTGTAGTAATTGCAAATTGAATCTCTTTTTATTCCAGTTGGTCTAGAAAACACCAATTCAGCACATGATTTTAGAAGAACCTTGGATATAAATTCTGTACCATATACTCATGGTCTGGAAAATTCTGCTGAAGTCCATTTTACTGCATATTTTATTTCTTTAGAGTACCATTACATTTTGTGTATAAAGTCAAGCATTGCTTGAATGTGAGAAAATTAATTCAACAGTCTGGCAGCAATTTTGTAGTACTTGGTTTACTGTCCTTGGAAGTTTAATAATCAGAAGTCTTCTGGAGGCTTTTCAGTGTTGTAAAAGCTTTGTTGTGTGGTCTAGCCTGTAGATAAAGGAACAGCCAGTTGATCATGTTGAAAACATTAAGTGAGATATTCCAGCAAGTAACAATGTACTCCACGCATTAAGCTTCAGTGCCACTGTCTTCAGAAACCTGTACCACTCAGGTTTTATAGGGTTTCGGACATTGTTCTGTAAATCAGCAATATTAATGCACTTGTTCAGACCAATTTAGCTAATCTGACTATATAAAAGTTTGTGCTGTGTCAATATAGAAACTTCAAAACTCTATAATAATGCTTCATTTTCCAGATTGTATCATGTTATATTTTGTAAAAGAAGAGCTGTTGGGGGCAAGATAGGAGAGTAGAAGGTTAAAAGGAAACAGGATATGTACAGTAGTTGCCAAAACTTTGAAAGATATAAAGTGTGTCTTGCAAATTTGTTAATGGAAAGATAACAGGGCCTGTTACTTAATTTGATAACACTGCAGTTGCTGCTAGAATTTAGTGAAAAAAACAGAAATTCTTGCAGTTGGACAGGGCTAACTTAACTGTATTCTACCATGACAAATACTACTGAGTTAGTGTTTGATATTAAAAACATCTATTGCCTCATCTGGGATAACAAGCCTTTGCACCATATCCAAGAAAAAAGTTGCAGTCTTTAAAAAAAAATTATTAAAATAAGTTTTAATTCAAAATTGCACTGTGTTGTCACATTATAATTTGAAGCATGGATTGACATTGCTTTTGTACTTCAAGGAGAAGCCACAAGAACTCATATACCAGAGTTCATAATAAAAAGTTTTACTAGATTTGTAAAATGTTTCTGTTTTCAAATCATGTTGATCCCAATGTAGAAGAAGTTATAAATAGGTTGTATTGTTCTTGCTGAAGTAATTCACAACTGTCAAGAACATTTGTGGGACTCCATGTTTTATTAGTCTCATTTTTATGCCAAAAATAGTACTAGAAGAGATCTGAATTATCTCTTTGTTTCTCCTTCTTCACCCTTAGATGGCAGAAACAACTTGAGATGACTTATGTTTTAGTTGCATCTAATCTCCCTCGTGTGGTTTTTGGATGCTCATAATTAGTGTTCAGGTCCTACTTACATTACTTTGTTAATTGCTTTTCACTGACAGTGTCTGTAGAATTTGTTTTGGCTTGAAAGGAAAACCTGTGGCAGTCAGATTTCCCCTAGACCTACTGAACTTAAGTTTAATTTCTTAAGAATTTTCACAGTGCTGGCTAAGGGTTTCTTGGTTAATAAAGTGTTGACTTCCTATGAACTCCTGTTGTGGTGAGGTGCCTCATAGTCTCTTCCACTCTAAACTAAAACCAAACTGAGATATGGAGCCTTTTGGAAAAGACTGTGTGGAGACATAATTATTGATTAGGGCACAGTAAATTGTTAGTGAATGTAAAGTTACACTGGAATATCTTTAAATGTGGACAGGAAGTAGGCTGTGTTGAATTGAGTAGGTGAACTAAGCAGATTATGTATATGAGATCCTTAATTTATAAATATCAAACTAAGGTTTAATAAAGTTATGCCAAGGTTCTAATGTTTTTCTTTTTGGTTGCTTTTAGTCAGTAATTAAGTTTATTTGTACATTGAGTATGCTCGGAAAGACACAGTGCACCATGTTTCAATACGCACTGCGATCTAACTGCTGTCAGAAACATTACTTCATCTGCTCAGGAATTAATATAAGCCTTTAAGATAATTTCTTCATCCAGGATTATGGACAAAAGATCTCTAGCAGACCTCAGTGATTTGAGAAGTTGCCTCTCACCAGTGATTTTGTTATCAAAAGACACCGTTAGCTGGGTCTTTCTAACCAATTATTTAGGAAAGATACTTGAGTTTATTACACAGTTGCAAGTCTGGGTGCTGAGGGGGATATACGCAGAACCATCACACCTCTGGGTCACAAACCTGGGTTTTTATGTACTTACTAAAAATATATTTCACCTATGTAATACTTATGAATTACAGATAACTGCCAATTGTGAAAGATTTGGTTTCTGTTACGGTTGTTTAAAGCTGAGAAAGGATTTTTGGAAAACCAGATAGAAGCTTTTCTAAAAGGGAGCAATTATCAGTACTATCTCTACAACTTCTTTCTAATATTAATTTTGTATTTTAAAAGGGTGTTACCGAGATAGAAGATTAATTTGCTGTAAGTAGTTTGCTGTATATATTAATTCCCTCCCATCGCAGAAGTATCTGTAGGGGTTTTTTTTCATTTTTAATACATGATATCAAAAAATGCCTACACCATAGGATGTCTGGTGTCAAAAAAATGGGACAAAGACTGTAATGTTGCTCTATACAGATGTGTGCTTAGCTCACAGCAGTTACCAGCAATTCTGTAGATCTTTTGGTACATATATTCCAACAACTATGCTTTATGATATGTCAGACTCTATTTTTAATTTAATGAGTAAGGCTCATTTTCTTGTGCTTCTAGAAGGTTTCTTTTAATTCTTGATATGTCTGTAACTGTATCTTTCCTACTTCATGCTTTTCAGATGCTGATGTGAAGAAAGAAATGTTTATTTTATTTGGGTTTCTAATTATTTATAACTCTTTCTAAAAATTTTCCTCCTTTCATGATGATATATTAGGGAAAAGAGAATACTTCTGTTTAACTGTTACTTCTTGAATTACACTGCATCATACGTCATATAGCATTGGATGCTGAAAATAGTCAAGTAAATACTTGTTGAAAAATATGTTGAAAGTATTCAAGTAAAATGAAAATTCTATTTTAAACATATTAAAATTTTCCTTTTTTATAAAGAAGCAAGACAATCTATCTGCCTTTTTTCATTTTATTTCCAGATAACATTTTTTAAAAGGAGCCACCATATGACCAGACTTCTTTTTGAGTCATTTTGTCAAGAAAGCTTCTAAGTGTCTACTTCAGTTCTTTCAATGAATAGCATTGTTTTCAGTAGTAGCATGCAGCTATGTTCATAAAGCATATAATAAAAATGCTGACATTTTTGCCCATTGTCAGACTGTTTGGGTTATTGTTCTAGTAAATAAGCTTCTCTGTTTTATCACTTATTCTCTAATGTGAAATATGTAAGTATTTATTTTTGGTATTTGAGGGCTCTTTAAATTTTTTAATATGTTTGGTATGGGTAGTTTCTAGGTTACTTTATTGATTTTAATATAGTTTGATTTTATGTGGAGTTTCAGATCTAGATTCTTCAAGCCCTGTGCCTTGTCCCGTAAATGTGTTTGTTTCAGAGTCAGGTAAGATGTTCAGGAAACTCATAGTGTAATAAACTGGAAAAATAGATGCATGGGCATCTATGAATATTTGTATGTACACGTACATACGCATTTGCACACACTTAAAGCATCTGTTAGGAAGAAGGTTAAGTGCGATATTTTCATTAATTTAAATATTGAAACTGCCTGTGCTTGTGTTATTACCTAGTACCTGCAATCATGCTAGTTGACAACAAATTCCACATTAAATTATTATTTTCTTCAAGCTCTCTTTTTGTTTAAGGTTTTAAGTTATTGTTTGGAACTCCTGATTGTGAACAAGTGTTAATAATAGAATGATGGTTTTGGCCTGAGTGAAAAAGTTAAAGGTGATTTTGTTTGAATTTACCATATGGATGTAGAAATAACCATATAAGAAACTTTGCTGTCTTGCTTGGTGGCATAACTACTTGATTTGAGAAATGTGTATGATTTGTGAACTCTTATACTGTAGGCAGTAGAGCACTTCCTTACCTTCACAGAGATTTAGATTTTTTGTTATATCTGTTTGCATATAGCACAGCTGCATGTGAAGTGCATTACAGGAAGTTGTTTGCCTTCTAAAAACGTTAGGTATTGCCACAGGCAAAGAAAACAAATCAATCTAATTTCCTTGATAAATTCAATAAGTTCAGTCAGGGATTTCTAGATACTACTTGTGGTTTCCGGGTATTTTTTTACTATTACATACAGATATCCCAGATCCTAATGTGTGGTTCTTTAGAGTGTTAGAGAAACAAATCTTGCAGGTAAGAGGCTCTGTTTCTTATGTTTGTGTCTTAAGTTCTGGATTTCACTTCTTTCAGAAGAGTGGCGTCAATGTTACTTTTATGACTTAGATTTTTAGGTTCTGTATTATTGAAACTGTAGTGGGCTTTTTCTTTTTTTTTTTTTTCCTTCCACTCCACACAAAAGATTGCACAGGTACTTGTTCAGTGCTTGCTTCTGCTGTCTAGTTCTGATTCATCATGTTTATGTGACTTATTGAAAACCATCTGTTAGCTGCAGTTTAACTTACACATCTGTATGTAATTTAGTTTTATTAATAAAGTACAATGAACAGCATTATGAAGCTTTTCTCTTTTAATCTTACAAGGAAAAAAATCATTATCTAAAAAAGCAATCACAAAGAAGAGGAAAGGTGTCAGAAAGTCTACCATACCAGAATTTCAGGTAAATTATTTTATTCTTTGTTTTAGACACTTGAAATCTGAATATCTGTGAAATAAATCCTTTAGTTTCTGGTAGAGACCTTGGAAATACTGAAGCTTCTAGTTTTTAAGGCTTAAACTGATATTTTTGGAAGTACATTTCACCTTCTCATGGTAGAAAATATTTTACCATTTTTATGAAGTGCAGCTGAAACACTATTTTCAGTATTGTTTATGATTCCAGATATATCTGTTACATTATAAAACCTGTAAAAACTAGGACTTGTTAAAGATATTTTTATGGTAGATATAACTGTTTGGGTTAAAATTACTTGATTTTGTATGAGGTGTGACAATGTGGTTCTTGAATTGAAATCTGGCTTAGTTCACTGAAGGACTTCCAAAAACTTTACAGGCAACTGTGCTTACCCTGCTTGCAACTGTTGTTCCTTATCAGCATGTGATTTCTAGGCCTCTAGGACCTCTTAGGCTGCAGAAAGTAACAAGAGTATTAATTATGCTAATATGGTTTTGTGGTACTGTAGTAGAAGTGTTACAATACTTCAATTCTAAGTTGCTCTCTATGTATGCAAGGCTGCTTGGATTAAAGTTCTCCTTTGGCTGTCTTTTTTTTTTTCCTTCAGAAAGCAGTCTGTGCGAGTTTGGCCAGTAGGCTTGCATTGAATCATGGCTGTATTGTAATACCCTCACCCTGAATCAGTTGATCCCATCATGATCATGTGTTTCAGATGGAGCTAGTAGAATTTCTTGTGTTAAAATTGGGTAGTAACAGTTAATGTTGAGAGATGACTGATATTTAAGTGCACACTGACTTTATTTATATTGTAATGGTGATAACTAAAATGTTTTCTAATAGCTCCAGAAAACAGGTACGTGTCTAATTTGTTTTTTTCGAAGCACTTTGTGTGCATGCCATGGATATATACAGCTAGTTTAGAAAAAAATGTCTTGCATAATTAAATAGCTGCATTTAAGCAGTCTATTAAAACTTAACCCAATCTTTTAGCTTTAGTAGATAAAACGTATGTATATCTATCTAAATGTATACTTCTGTAAAACCTTATATTAAAATGTGGCAAAATACTTTTGACTCTTTTGGTCAAAGCTAGGACTCATATCTGTTTTAGGTCAGGTTCAAACTGATTAGTATTCAGCAGTTTATTCTTATGAGGGAGCTTTTTAACAACTTGACTCATTCAAGCGGTATGACTGTAAGAAGAATTTGCAGATATTAAACATTTTATATTTGGAATAATACTAAGACTTCTGAGAGTCTAGTAATTTATGCTTTAATATACTCTTCCCCACATACACAAATGGCCAAATTTTATGAAATTATGTAAGTAGTTGAAGGTACAAGTATATTTTTTAAATATTTAGAAAACGGCTTAGAACTTGCAGGCCCTATGAGATATAATGGAGGGCATAACCACAAGAATATTGCTATTCATGTCTATATATCAGGTCTTTTGGAGTGCAAGTTAATAAATTAAGAAGTATAATATGCTTCATGTGCCTGTAGCCTACAAATGTAAAAAAAACCACAAACCCAACCAGCAGGCACTTTAGTTTATAAGATTAGGTTCTGTACTTAAGTATGGATCTTCTGAAAATCATGACTTGGCTTTAAAACTGAGTAAATGAGTATTAATAAGTCTTTTAATATGTGCAGTGACACAAATCAAATCAATTATTAGTGAAAATTCAGAAGGTAATAGTGCTACTTAATCTAATATTTAGAATACCATTTTTATAATATATAGCTCAAGCCTGCTTTGAACAAAATCCCCAAAGCCCTGCAAACAACAAAACAAACTCAAATCAAAAGCAGATGCAAATTAAATTCTTTTTACCAAATAAAGATGCACAAAAACCAAGTCCTGGTTTTAATATTTTGAGCATTATTGGAGAAGTGAGTTTACAGCTTCATAGATCATTATTTAGTTGTCTCTTGCTTATTCTGAGCTTCTTGTTACTGTTGCTCATTAACATTTTAAATAAATTAATGGTAGTTATAGTGCTGTACAGAAGAGACACTAATGTGTTTTGGGGTTTTTTCCCAGTTAAAGAGTACATTTAGTGTTCCACTTAGTCTTTTCTCCTTTCACTTCATGTACATTCACACACAGCTGTATAGACCTACATGTATGATAATTAAGGAGAAAAGGAATATGCATGCTCTTTTTCAGTGTGTCTTTACAATTTTGGTTTTATCATCTATGGTCTATATTAAATGCAGATCTCAAGAGGGGCTATTTCGATGTTTTCCACATGTAGATGTCAGTGATAAAAGAGCAGCTTCATAGGAAATACAATTATAATTAACATTATAATTATATTACACAAATAACTTGAAACAAAGTGTGAGACCCTGTTGAAGTGCGTTAAAATTCTGCAAAAATTTTGTCTGTAGTTAAGGGGGCAAGGAAAGAGCATCAGTGGTCTGGGAAATACACTGGGTTCTATAGTGCTAGAGAGTTCATTTATGTGTTGATTACAGGAGAGTCCCAAGTTGGAATGGAGCTTGAGCCCCTGTCTTCCCTTAAAAATTCAGGGCAGATTTTTTTTGTCTTTCTTCCTTGAAGTCCTAGGAGTCAATGAGGGTCTTTGAGAGATTACTGAGATCTGAGGTTGCATTATAACATGAAAGTTGAACACTGAATTTGAAATTTTACTGAATATCTGAAGCTTCCACTTCAATTGAAACATAATTGGTATACAAATGAAAAACGGGATGCTTATTGCCTATGATAAATAAGTCCCTATGTAGTAAGTACTATGCCAGATGTGATGGTGATTTTTTTGCAGGTAACATGTACACAACTAATGAGACTAAATTAATGTGAACATTTACAGGCTGAATCTTTAAGCCACTATGCTGTGTTCTGGAGAACAGGAGCTAATCTTTCATTCTGTCTGATAATTCAAAATGGAAACATTTTTTCACTTCATATTATTTTCTTCATGATAGGTGATTAGAAGGCATGTTCTTCAAGAACCACGTGTGAAACTACCAGTAAGCTATCAAAATGTGACAAAATTATTAGATTGTAACATTAATATCTTTTTTTTTGCCTTCATGTTAACTTATCCATGAAAACATGCATAACAATTAGAAGTCAGTGTTGTTTGTAGAAAACTGAATCTCTAAGTTCCACCAATTACCAGCCATAAGCAAAGAACACTGAAATAGAAATAAGAATCTCATTGGGAGAAATAGCATCTAGAGTCCATACCAAAATGAATAAAGTACACTACACTTTGTTATTTTCATCACTGTTCTTTTTGTTCTTCCTTCAAAACACTAGCTTCATTCTCTAAGATAGGAAAAGCTGAACACGAGAGAAGTTTCAGAATTAGCTTTTTCCCAGTCAGTGTGCGTCTTTATTTTGTCATCTCAAATCATACTGTGAATTAAAAAATCAAAGTTTTTTCTTGAACCCTTTTTATAGTGCTTTTTTCAGTTCAGTATTGGAGTATTTAAAATGCTAAACTAATTTGACTATGAATCCTCCAAGCTCAGCTGCTGTTACTTTCCTTATGTTATCAGTAGGTAATTGACACACAGTTATGACCCTCAAATGTACATCTCATATGATCAAAATTATCACTTAGAGATTTGATTACTCTTGCCTCTCAGCCCCAGCCCCAAGGCAATTAAACTTGATTTATTTGCATTGTTTTTCACAATTATGTAGTTTGTATTGGTCTAGTAGAAGAAAATAAAAAGTAACAATGGACTTTCATAACTGAATTGTCAGGTATATAGTAAAAAAATGGATTATGGTTGTGTAGGGAAAACCTTTATCCATGCCTTTATTGACTTTTGTCAAGGACTTTGTGATGTACTTTTTTGCTTAATAATATAGTGTCATGGATTTCTTCACAGGCCAGACAGAGCCAATATTTGGCTTCAGTTTATATTTTTGGTATTTTGGACTACTTTAAGTACAGGATATGCATTTTGAACCTAATTACCCATACTGTTACCCATAGTCATTTTGTTTTCTGCGTTAAGAAAGATATCTTTCACAAGTAAATTTTGCATACACAGACTGTGGCAAGACACTGCCAATTTCCTTATTAATTTGTTGTTCTAAACTTAATAGATGTGAAAAAGGTAAACTTTGATTTGAGTCACTCAGTTTCCTCAATGCTGCAAATGTACACAATGTAATGAAAATAATGGCACATGTGCACTTGAGGTTTCTGAAATTTGCTTTGCTAAAAGTGTTCAGTGTTTTAATAGAGACTAGCAAAAGTGCTTCTTCGAATATGAATTTCCTGAAAATCAAAAACTGCACCTGAATTTGAAGTAAAACTATGTTGCTATAAACTACTGATTTGGTAAAAATACTTAGCAGTTGTTTGATTAAAACATTTTCATGAGGGTGTGTTTTGTATGGGTTTTTTAATTTAATTTTCTTAAATTATTGCTACATGTTTTCAGTGAAAGGAAAACATGTCCACCTAAGGGTGTTCAGAAGAAGCAAGTCTTATTACAACATAATCCAAAAAAACCTAACATCTTAATAATTACTAGTTCTTTAAGTCTTAACTTGCCCTAGGTGATGGTAAGAGAAAATATACAGATCACCTTTGTTTGACAATTTTTTCAAGAAAATAGCATCCATTTTCTGAAAGGAAAAATTATAAAAAGCTGATTTCTAAAGACAGGAATTAGAAGAATATAATATTTTCTCAAAACATACATTAAGTAGGTAGATATGGTAGATGACTAAGTTTCCAGAATAATCAAGGTTGGAAGAGGCCTTCAATATCATCCAGTCTGACCGTCCACCCTGTCACCCTGAAACTGCTAAACCACATACCTCTTGAACATATGCAGGGATGGAATACTCAGTGTAAGCATATAAAGCTATGGTCAGGAAAAGTTGTACCAAGTGTAATATGTTATCAACATAACATATTACATATATGTTATGTTACAAATAAAATTACATATATGTTATGTTACAAATAAAATAAGTATACAAAGTTAGTATACTTATTTTGCCAGGGAATTGTTTGGTACTAAAGCTGTTCTAAGTCATCACTGTACTTGAGAGAAATTTGGTAGTTGTCATTCACAGAAGTTTTAAGAAAATACCTAAATTTTGAAATGGAAGCTTACAGATATGGTTTATGTCTGAAGAATAAGAGTATTTTCTACTTAGATTTTCCTTTTCTCAGCAAGTCATGATTTTTGTTTGGGTTTTTTTTTATGCTTGAAGATACTATAAGGAAATACAAATCAAATGGTGGCACTAAGTAATAATGTGCTTTTAAATTTTATGTAATATCACTGTACATTTTCCAAGTCCCACATCACCAAGTGTTTGTGTTCATTTGTTTTTTAGCTTATTTGCACTAATCTTGATGAACTCAGGGAGTTAATCACAAAGATTGAGAATGAACTCAAAGATCTGGAGGACATTAAAAAGAAATCGGTATGTGACATTAAAAGCTTTCTCTTGTATTGATATGAAACAGTGTCAGTTACTTGCTGAGGCCTGTCAAATGAACTTTTTATGCTCTTCAGTAACTGCATGAAACATCCTAAGGTTGATACCTGGGGACTGTAATCTTAATCTTTCCTGTGTATAAAAACATGTTATTGATGTTTTTATAATTAGTGAATTCAGTACCTGTGTTAGCACTTCTCCACGCCAAAACAAAATACAGATAGTGGTAATACCTTAGCATGAGTAGTTCATCTCCATTAAACATGTGACTGTTTTGCCCTGAGGGCAAGTTCTTACCAGCAAATAATTACAGGATAGAATTCTCATATCTGCCTATGCAGTGTTGATCAGAATTTCTAGTGACCTAAAATTCTTAATTCCTCTTTTTTGCATGTGTTATTAAAATTTACTTTCTTTAATATTTATTGAAGGAGTTTGTACCAGAAAGCGTGCTGTCTGGCTTTTGATAAGAGATTGAGATACAGATTTTACCAATATACGCTGGATCACTGAGTCTGTGCAACTGAAAACCTCAAAGGACTAACAGACAAGAGAAATCAGCATGCCTTTTGTAGAAGGCAGTGATTCTTATTAAAATGGTAGATGAGTTTAAATACATGAATAGTACTCTACAGAACTCTTACTACTTTTTTCATTGTAGTTCTGTTTATTGAACCTTTGGTAGGCACTTCTATGGTGGCATTTCTTATGAAGAAGTAGTAGTTAGAAGTGTTGATTTTTCTGTTAGAAATCAGGCTGCTTTTAATTCAAGGGAAAATTTATAGTCTCATGAAGAATCAATATATTCTGAAGTTATTTCAATAGGGGAAAGAGCTGCGGTAGAAGAGAGACAAATAAGTTAGGATTCTAAAAGACAAGTATCATTGTAATTAGCATAGTTGTTAATGTAGGCAAAGGAATAATACCAGCCTAATCTTGAAATGATTTTGTAGTTGCTAAATTGTAAACTGGTTTTAGCATAAGAATGCCAAGAAGTTATCAGAAGGGCTATGTCAGCAATAGGATAACAAGCCCAAAATTAGAGTATATATATGCTAAAATAGCATATAGAGTATATTGATATGCTACAGAATACCAATAATCTTAGTGTAGGTGAGACTTTCAGTCTGCTATTAAAACTGTAGGAACATGACTTCTTCAAGGGTAGACAAATGCTAAATATGTCATAATTGCACTTTAAACTGAAATCTGATAATGTCATTATCTAAGTAAGTTGCATGACTTCAGCAGGAATACTATGTTTAGTTCTAATTACACCATCTTAAAAAACCCAAACAGTTAAGTACAGGGAATTAAGATACAATTCATTCAGCATTCAGTAGTTGTGAGGTAAGGATAATCTTTTGTTGTGTCTTTATAGACCTATCAAATCATGATTCTGTGTCTCTAAACACTTGTGTTGTTAGAAACTTGATGTAAAGAGGAAGGGTTAGGATTAATTGCTGAAGAAGTGGTTACGGGGAAACAGTGAAGTGAGATACTGGTATTGAAAAAAATATTTATCAGGAAAGTATTATATTTACCTTTCAAACATTCAAATAGAAAAGTGTTAAATTAGGTGAATAGTCATAAATTTGAACTTGTTAAAATGAAGTTTTGCTTTGTAAGGAAAGTCTTTAGGATTTCATTTTTGAAGTCTAACACCATGTGTCATTATGTTTGATGTCTGAAAAACTGGAGAAAATGCAGACTTTCATTCTTCAGCTCTAACCAAATGACAGTGACAGTATCAGAAGCATACAGAAATGAGTTTGTCCTGTTTTTGAAGTGCATCTTCTGTTAAGTAAAACAATTTTCTAATTTGATAATGGAAGTTTGACCTAATGTGAAAGTCTATTTTAATGATAGCACTTACATGCTGTTCATTGACTTCTTTCTTGTTTTAAGTGAAAAATGGTGATGTTCTTACTGCTTCATGGTAATTTAATATTGATTTTTGTTTGCAATAATGATCTGCATGAAGCCACAGGAGTCTTTCTTCTTCACAACTGACCTCCTTGGTAATTTCAGTTGTAGTAGTTGCTAGAACATGCTGCTGAGAAAAACCTTCAAGGCAAGCTTTACTGTTATATTATATACTAACATATTTTAGAAGTTCAGGTTATTTTACTTTAAATTAAGACTTTCAAGTATAATCTTTTCTTAGTTGTAACCTCCCTTTTGTTACCTTGAAGACCATTCTAGAGTACGTAAAAGGAATTCCTTCTCCAGAACTTGGAAGTAATGGAGACTATAATGAAAGAGCTGAGCTACAGGGCCTTTTTAGTATGAATAAACTTACACTGTTTTCCCTCATTTTTTGTAGGTAGTTGGACTGGTTGTATCTGATACTTTTCACAGCATCAACTTGAGACAACAAATGACATGACAGATTTTTGTTTGGCAAATTAAAATAAAATCAGAATAGGGTTATGTAATAGAAAGTAATGGATAATTTTAAGTTTGGGCATTTCAACAAGTTTCTTTTAAAACAATGAAATAATAAACGTGTTGGAAAGTATTCTCACTGTTTGGTTGATTAAAACAGTTTGGTTTTCTACTTTTGTACTCCTGTATTGTCTTTTAAATTAGCTATGAGTAGTATTTTTCCTTTCAAAAAGCCTTGCGCTTTTTCTTGATTCCTGGTGAGTTTGTTATACATGAGATTTGCTTTGTGCTAGTTTGCTGTGTCTGTTTAGAGTAGAAAATTAAATTTGACCTAAGTTCTTTGATTTTGAAGAGTTCAACTCTGTTCTTGAACTCTAGACGCAGTTCTGTAGTGATGCTGTAATTTCACGTATGCTTTCAACTGACATAAGCCAAAACTGCTGCCAAATAAATAGTTCCTACTCCCTGTGTCTCTGGAAGCTTCTGTTTTCTGTGCCATCCCCTGTTAGAGGCTAGCAAAATCTGTTGTTCTGTTGCATGGTGAGAGTTAGATTGTGATAAACCTAACTACTTATTTGTGCCGGTGAATTGTTTGTAAGCCAGACCAGTTTTCTAATGCAATTTATGATGGGGTTGCACAAATACCTGTGCTTATATTCTGCTACAGGTTAAGTGGTTGTTGTAAGAATAGAAATGTCCATCTGCAGGCAAAAGAAAATGGGACTGATTTTGAAGTTGTATGTGATATTGTTATCGGGGTACTCTAAAAAGTCTATTCCTTCAGCTGCTGAACAATTTCTCTCCTTATCACATATTATGTATCCAGAGGGAGAGGAGAAATCAGTCAGGTTTGCTATTGTATCTGACTTAAACATTAGGAAATAAAGGAAGGAAGTATAAATACAAGGAAATAATGTGAAAAGTGCAGAAAGGGAACTTAGACTTAAAGTTTAATGATCTGTGCTAGTAAAAGGCTGATACCCTAAGGAATATCTAAGCTAGAATGTCTTCCAGCTCTTGTATATTGCTTAGGACATGTGAAGCTGCATCCATTAATTTTAAAAACTGGAGTAAAGGTTGAATCGATAGAAAAAGCCCAGAATTTACAGCAATGAAAATTAGATACTAGTAGAAATTAGATCTCTTTTGTTGCAAATACTTGCATAAATATGGTGTGGGTAAAATTACAAGTAGTCAGTAAAGCAGAAGTGGGAGGAGATACTGGCTAAAAATTCTATTGATATTTTATTGAATTTTTAGCTCTTGTTTGTTTTTTTTGAATATTTAGTCTGTGTATATAATATTCATAGCCATTTGTTGAATGTGAGCTCCTAGAAATTTTCTATAACTAGCAAATTGACCAACATATGCAAAGTAGCTTAATTCCACACTTGAAGTGGTATTTCTGAAAAAATAATTTTGACAAACACACATGATATGGGAGCATTTTTCTAGTATATTTAGGATCACATAAAGACTTCAATCTAACATAGCAAATTTCTTTTATGTGAAAAGGCAGTAGAGTAATGCATTCTGTTGGATCTCTACACAGGATAACAACTATCAGTCTCTGGCATTTTGGATCCCACTTTTCCCTAGGTCTTCTCTGTCTGGTCAAATCAGTGGGACTTAAAGTGTGAATGGAAATCTTCTTACTGCCTTTCAGATAATCTGCCTCTCATGTGATGTGAAGGATTTTTTTGGTGAATGTGAAACTGTTAATTAAGCTGCTTAGTTGATCAGTTGTATGTACTTAACTGTTGCATATCATAGCAGAATTTTTTTATTATTATTTTTTCAAACCCTACTTGACATTGTATAGGATGAAAGTGGCAGGACTGCAGGTGCTTGCATATAATAGTGAACTCAGGGCTTTTTTGCAGATGCTAACTGAATTTGCAGTAAAATGAATGGAGTTTTTAACATGAACATGGAAAGATTTCTTGTTTACTGAAGTGCAAGACTATTTGGTAGCACTATTGGATTTGATTCATGACTTCTAAGTCTGATGGATAAATGCTTAGCTGTGTAGGGGGTGAGAAGGGAGGCTGGAGCCTAGGATTCCCACAGTTAAGCTGAGAAGATTAAAATGATTAATGGGCAGTACCTTCCTGAGAAGGAGACTGCATCATCCCTAGAGAGAAAGAAAAGTCAGACAAAGGTTAAGGGAAGGAGAATTAGTTAGTCAAAGCCAAGGTAACAACTAATTGTGGTTTGGAGAAAAGGCTTTATTGTTTGTCTGTTACACCCTGATGTTCTTGACTTAACAGCTAAAAAAGTGAAATCCTCCCTTTTAAAGGTTTTGTGTTCTGCTGTTGTTTCTGGAGCTTATAATGAGATGGTCCCAGGGGGTTGGATGCCTTTGTCTATCTTGGGAAATTGATGTTAGTTTCAGCAGGTGAGTCAAAAGGCCTGAAAGGAAACAGTGGTTTTCTGCAGCATTAAGTCACCTGCAAAAATATATATTTCAGAGTACACCTGAAAGTTTAAAGTGAAAAACCCACTGGTTTAGGTCAGAAATAGTTACAACTTCGGACAAATTAATTTTTGGGGCTGTTAAAAGGAATATATTGATCCAGGGTGGAACATACTTCCCT